ATTAAGGGGGCTCTTTCACATATATATATATATATATATATTGTGATCAAAGATAAGTACTCTTGTAAAAGAAATATACAATCAAAAAAAGACTAAATGAACCTGAAAGTATATTAAAAACTCGTATCAGCAGATGTAAAGGGTGCAAGAAATAATGTAAGTTAGTAACGTAAAAGATGAATTAGTTATTTAAAATCCTTAACAAAAGGCTTAAAAAATGTAAATAATTAGGTTGCCCAACAAAGGAGTATATGCAAAATACAATATAATTTCATACAAGAGGTAAAGTAAAAGGGTTAGTCTAATAAGGTTGTAGAATGCGTAAGAAAATTAATCCTACAGAAACTTGATTTAAAAGGGTATGTGGTGATGGTCTATACTGCTAAATGTCAAATAACTGATGACACAAGCTTATGTTACCCAATTCAATGAACGAGGATGCAGGTATACATATAAAAGAGTAAGATGAGGTAGCCTACATTTAATACAAAATTTCCCAGAGGGCCAAGGGCAGTGTGAAAAAAGTAAAGGTGCTGGCTGCCATGAGTATAAGGATGCAATGTGATGCAGTGATCTGCAATTGAGTACTTGCAACAATTTCTTGAAAATCCACCAGTTTTTCAGTACGAAGCAGTTTTAATTTTACCAAAAAACTCAATATTAATGATTTCTTATTAAAAATAAAATACGTAAATATAGCTCACAATCTTAGCAATATAAGGAGTAGGGACTTCGATTACAGAGTACACCTGTTTCACCAAAATTCGTTCTCGATATCAAAATTAATTTTTTGCTGTATTTTTATTTTTTCCATTTTTGTGTGCCATTTTTCACAATAAAATGTAATAACATAAGTTATACTCTTCGTTTCTTTTCGATCTGATTGGATACCCTTAAAAGTTATTTTTCGTACCATGAGCGTAAAGTGTGCTAGTGGGCTTAAGGTATATCTTTGCACCCTTGGAAAGAAAAACGTTGCTCACACCTTAAGCAAAAACACATAACCCCCCTCCCATTTAATTTTATTTTTGAACTGTTCAACTTATTGTCAGTATGGTTGTTTCATTAACAGAGAATTATACTATTAATGTAAGAAAAAATAGGTCAAAGATGAATTAGATTTTCCTTTTTACGTAGTTAAAAATCAAGTTCTTATACCATTTGTGTTAATTTTTGTTCTTATTTTTTGCAACAGTAAGATCCTATAAGTATGTTGTTACTTATTAAACTTTGTTATCATAATTTCATAAATAAAAAAGTTTTAACTAAGACTTTCTTTAATAATAGAAAAGGCTACTGAATAGTTTTAGTAATATTCAAAGAAGCAGAACACACGATGCAGCATAATTTAAGACAAAACATAAAATTTTCAACGACCATGCAACTTTTGAGTAAATATAAATTGTATACTACATGCCTGAGCTAGAAAGAAAATCGCTTGTATGGGTTGCCTTCAGTTTGGCTAGCAGTGAATTGCACAAGCAGTAGCACTTTACTGTATGTCAGAGGTGCGTACGTTTTTTTTGCATACGTATGCTTAAAAGTTTGTGTTTGACTGTTTTTTAAAAGTGTAAGTTTATGTTGAACTGATACAGAGATTACAACCTTTTTGTAGGGATGTAATAAAAGTAATTTTATAACGATGAACGATGGTTGTTATTAATCAATATAAAATTTTCTTACCATAGAATCGTGTGGTATGTGCATACTGTAATTTTGTTGTGGAAGGTGCGTTGGCGGGTACCCGTTGTAGGGTGGCTGTATACTACTGCTTTCTCCAGGCCAAGAATCTGTAGCACCTGTGTGGCTTAGATTTTGATCTTAAATGAAATTTTATTCTGTTAATCATAAATGTGACTATACTCAGCACTAACTATTTATTAATTATTGATTGAGAAAATGTTTCTAGAAAAAATCTATAGCTTATAACGTTTACTTAAAAAAACTTATAATAAATATAACTTATAATTGCTACTTATCAAATACAAGGGTATTTTATGTTTCAGCTTTGATTATTAATGAAGTACTACTTTAGAATCAAGAAACGAGATTCCGAAAAAAGGGCCTAAGTTCTCATGATATATTTTATGCCATTATTTATATTTAAAAAAGTATACTTGTTAACGTCTTACTTGCATGTAACGTTACATAGTTAAACTGTCTTTATTGCCGAAAAAATTAAATTTTCACCTTGCAAACTTACGAAAATGTTTTAAGAAAATATTTTTGTTGAGTGCGTAGGCAAAAAAAATTTTTTTTACTGTGTTTGATCATAGAAACCTTATAAGTTGGCTACAATAATTTCAAATGCACTACAATCAAGTTTCAAATAAGCCTCAAACCATACTACAGGCTCAAATGTATTATTTAATACACAAGGTTATCAGCCAGTGTTAAGTACAGTAAGAACTGGGAAGACCAGACGTGTGTTCAGTTTTGTGAAATCCTATGAGAATAGTACTAAATTCGCTCGAATATAATAAAATAATTTACTTTAAGTCTGAATAGTATAATAACTAATGAAAGAAATGTTCAGACTAAAATAGAAGAATTAGGAAAAGAAAAGTAGAGCAAGTAATTTGAAGTTCAAAAATAAATTTAGTTAGAAAAAAAAGTAAAATTTTCTGCAGTGTTTCACCAAAAATTCTGTTAAAGGTTGTAAACGTGCGTATAACAAAAAAAAGGTCTAAATTTCATCTGCCAATATATGCCCAACTAATTTTCACCTAACACTTGTGAAATTTAAGTATCACTCTGGTATATTAAACTTTTAAGAGGTTCACGTAAAAAAACAAATAATATTAAAAATTCACCAAGTTAACGGAATTAACAAATAACCAAGTTTTCAAAATTCATCGTGAGTGTAAATTACAATGATTACAATACTTGAATAAGAGAAGTATGTTATCACAGAGCGAAATATGTGAATACTTTGCAAAATTATAAAATCAATTATGTATAACATATCGGGTTGGCTTTCTACTATTTTTGATGTGTATTGAAAATTGCAACAAATCCTGACTGCTCTTAGAAAAAGCGTATGAAGTGTATAATTGTTCAAACCAAAACATTAAGGATGAGGCTTGGGCGATTTTCAATAAAATGCTGGCTAGCTCTTAAATTTAGAATTTATGTAAATAAATTATGCTAGATTTTTTCATGAAAATAAAATAGGTAGGTCCACACATTTATTTTCAAGAGTTTCACTTGTGAAGATTAGTCTTTTCAACACATAACCTTACGAAACCTGAAATTCAATTTACTACCGTACCACAATAAAAAGTTGCATGCCCACACATCAAGTTAGTAAGTTTAGTTTAGATTACAAAGAATCTATGATTTAAAAAAAAGAGAGGATCAACACGTTAAACTTTGAGAAAATAGCGAGGAAAACGTTGACCGAGAGAATTATTTTATCCAGGAACTGTGAGTGTGCATGTCCCAAAACAATATTAATAATCTGAAGATGAAATGATGTTATCATTAAATAATAACATATCGAATATATTTAACTTTGTTCGAAGCATTTATTTACTGTTCTACAGCATTTATAACAAACAATGTATGCACTATTTTTTTTTATCCAGCTGATCAAACATGTTTTGGATGATTCTTTTGTTAGTGGTAACTCATGGTTTATTGTTCACATTTTTCCCTAGCAGGAATATCAAACCTTATAATCCACCTGTTTTAATTGCTTTGAGGAGCATTGTTTGATGAATACTAGTCTTCGAAATTTTTGTTTTCATAGCTGGTTTAAAGGTCGTTAAGTATATCATTGAGTTCTTATTCTCTTTGATTCTTTATAATCTAGCTTTTGTATTTAATGTAAATTCAATACTTTTGGTATTTTTCACAATTTCAGATGTGTCAACACAAATGTTATAAATAAGTTTTTGTAATACTAAGACATCCTTTAACGCATTATGTGCGTTCATAACATCACTTTTATCTGAAAAGTCATTGGCTAAATTGACAGATTACAGTCCACTAGCGTAAGTGTAGGTGTATAACAGTAGAATAGACAAGGTGTGGTATTGTCAGTTTTATAGTGGTAGGGCTGTCAACCTTACACATGGTACCTCGGGAAAACCAATATAAATATTTTCTAATATCGACTTTTGCAATGGCTTTTCTGCGTACTACTGCTATTTTGTTGACCCACGTATGTAATTAATATGATTGTAAAAAATAATACAAAGAATCATTTGTATGACAAGTACCCCTCAGGGGCCCCTCAATAAATACGACACCAAACGCCCAAGCCTCCTTAAAAGTGTATTTTTTCTGTAAAAATAAGAAATAGCTTCAATGCTTATAGCATAATTAAACATTAAATATTCTGTATCAATTCAAAAAAGGTAAGAATTATTTGTACTCAAAAGCTGAGTAATAAAATTCAAGTATTTGCACACCGATCGGTTTCTGAAAAATTTTACGTAAACAGTTATAATTTATTATCATTTTTTTTTCTGCAGTTGATGTTTATTCAGTCACTTATTTTTCAAAAAGAAGCATAAAGCTAGGCCCAGTGAGTTATATATTACAGATTTAATGATTTTGCAAAATATCGGCATGTCTTGCTCTGTAATAAAATATATACCATATTTAATTATTACAATAACTGTAAGTAAGATACATAATAATTTTTGAAAACTTGACTTTTTTTGTTGCATTTTTAATTTCATTTCGAAAATAATTTTATTTGCTTAGACATTTTGATAAACGATTGCATTCTACTGTCTTACTATTTTCAGTTAATAAGAACCACGTAATATGGCAACAAACTTGAAAAAATTAAATAATTAATTTGTTGTTGTGTAACTACATTTCGTAATTTTTTTTTTACTTAAGTATTATAATAAAAACATTATTTTAGTAATTAAATTGTTTTGAAAGAACAACATCTCTTTGATGTAGCAACAAACTTTTTTTTCATCTATTTCTTTCTCTTTAAGAGCAAATACTGCTACTTGTTTTTTTGAGAAAATGCTCTAAAAATTCATGAAAAAAAAAATACCATAAAAAATTTTTAAGTTAGTTCATACAAATCTCTGTTAATAGTAAGAACGTGAATAAGGTGCAGAGACCAGCGTATAATAAGTTATTAATTTGTCGAAAGTCTTACTAATTTTTTCGTGTTTTTGATTATCTAACTAACTTTTGAATTGTCAAAATTATCATATTTTAATATTTTATCTTCAAATTCAACGATTTAATATTTTCGATTAGGTTACTCTTTCATATGAAATTGTCTTAAAAAAACAAAAAATGAAAACCTGTTCCATTTCATTAATTAGTTTTAAACTGGAAATAAGGAGTTACTGTGCAAAGCGCGCAAGGGGTGGGGACCCACTAATATATAGTTCTTGCCAAAGGAAGTGTTTTATACTGTTCATATATTATAGTAATCCTTTGAAAATCGCCTTTTTGCAATTTGCAGAAATAGTGCACATCCATACTAAACTATGAATACCCACTAATGTAAGTGACGTTTTGATCTAACAAGTAAACAATTAACAGAACAAAATATAAAAAAAATATCTATATATGTTGTAAGGAATCGATTTTTCTTTATAATACACTTTACACAAACATGCGTGGAAAATCACGCGTAAAAAAACGTATGCATAAATTTATATATATATACAAGAACTGGTCTAAGATTTTGGTTTTCATCATGTTTCTTCCCCTAGCATCCTGTAAACTATTACAATAAATAAATTCAGGACAATGACAGTAACTTAAAATTTTAAAGTGGTTAATCAACTTGTGGTAGCATGGCAAGAACTTTCAAAGAACGATAAGCAAATGAAAAATACCAACAGAATTTACCTTATTAACTTATTTATCTGCGGCTACATTCATAGCCTAATCACTAATGCTGTAAAAAATGAATAAAGAGGTGAAATAAGAACTTTTGTGTATTAAACATCTTCCTAATTATATTTTAAGTCTTTTCTCGCAAATATGTATGGTCAAATTTGCTCAAAAACATAAAAATTAATATCATATCAAGTTAACAATGATAAAATATGCATTTCAAAATCTATTTCCATCAGTTGAGAAATTAAAATGCAAACTTAAAAGTAAATTGTGCACGTGAGCACCAAGGCCAAATTTTAAAAGTCGCCTGCATGGCGCAATCTCACCACTTTAAGTGTCATTTTATAAATTTTTGTGATCATGAGCTGGAATGGTTAAGCAAACCATTTAAAAATTTAGTTTTGCTCACGTTATTCTAAATATTCTATTTTGTAGTTTTTTTTTTTTTAATATTCTTAAAAATAAAAAAACATTNCGGTGTCAAAACTTTGATAAGAAAATTATCTAAAAACATATTCTTACGTATTTTTTCCTCAGCTTTTCAGTGGTGGCATCAGTTTTTCGAAAATTTGCTCCCATAACCTCGAAAAATGCACTTGTTTGAAAAACACGTTTTATCTCCATGATCTTCAACTTTTAGAATTCTTTTGATAGTCTAGATCGAAAGATGAGACATTTTTACGTAGATATCGACAATAAAAAAAGAGGGGTTTTTTGTTTTTATAACGTATTTAAGCGACGAACGAGACGATGGGAGCCGCGGCGGCCAGGCCATGCGCGGCAGGAGCGCGCCGTCTGCTACCGTCTCTCTGACTGGATGTAAACAAATACACCTAACCGTGATGGCTTGCACTTTGCAACAAGTTTCGATTGATTAATTAAGTATTTGTATTTATTATTTTTATGACTTGAAGTTGTGCTATCGTAAGTTGAAGTTTTCGTAGGTTTTACTGCAAAGAAACGAAGGTTTTTTTAGTAGCAAATCTGACTACGA